AAAAAAAAAAAACCCACAGCATCCTCGATCCACCTACTGACATCGAGCATCCGAAAGACGAAGAGGATGGTGAGACAGATTTTCCTTTGGAAGTGGAATGAATATGCACCAGCTCTAAAATCCCCCAGAGGAAGTTCCAGCCTCTCAGCTTCACTCTGCCACAATGACTGATAGTAATTCAATAACAGAGAGACATTAACCAAGTAAAAGCAAAGAAAATCTGCTGAATTAGTCCAAACGTCAACATTTCCAAGGATAAAATTTCACATTTGGAGAAAATGGACAGCAAAGATGATTTCAAATATATGGCAGATGTGATCTCTGGACAGGTCGTAACCCTCTTCAGCAAATCATCATATGCTTGAAATCATCTTTGGAAATGCAGCTTTCTGCAAACGTGATGTTTTCTCCTTGTTAACATTTCATTTTGTTAAGCTGAGATATATTACATCTTGACAATACCACTGTTAACTACCCAAAAAAAATTTATACTGTGCACCATTAGTCTAAAATACTGCTGCTAATGTTGCTGTTTGAACTAATTCAGCAGATTTTCTTTGCTTTTATTTAGTTACTGTCTCTCTGTTATTGACTTACTATCAGTCATCGTGGCAGAGTGAAGATGAGAGGCTGGAACTTCCTCGGGGGGGATTTTAGAGCTGGTGCATATCCATTCCACTTCCATAGGAAAAATCTGGCTCACCATTGTCTTCGTCTTTAGGGTGCTTCCCCTTATGGCTGCAGTCGAGCATGTGTGGCTCAATGAGCATGCTGACTTTCTCTCCAATACCAAGCAGCCTGGGTGCAGTAGATCCACTACTGGGTGCTGCAGACCATTTTTGGGTCTTCTCCCTCTCTGGTTTCCATGGGGCACGCTCTTGATGGGCTCTGGATACTAGAGAAGGGATGGCAGAAGAATAAAGCTCCCCTCACTCCAACCGGTCGCGGCAGATGGCCGCCCCTGCCTGAGACTGGTTCTGCTGGAGGTTTCTTCCTGTTAAAAGGGAGTTTTAGAGCTCAGGATATAGCTTCCTCCAACTACGAAACATTAGTGGTAACAGCAGCAACAAACGAATCTCAGATCTGCAAATCTAAAAATCATTACAGGACACAGCGGTCCAGCCTATAAATGCGCTCCTTTTACATTGAGAAACTTTACACCAGCTGCTTTATTTTTATTATTTTTTATTTATTTAGTAACTTTAGACATGTCTGCACTGGGTAGACACAGGTGAGCTGTGACAACGGTGCTTTGGCTGTTTTATTCATTTAAACCCTCCTCTACCAGTCGTTTAATTTGCGGATTTCCAGAAAAAAATATTGTTAAACAGAAGAACATCTGATTGGAAGTTTTCTAATGTAATTTCAGGTTTCACAGCATCTGGACTGGATTTTAAATCTCAAATGACACATTACTATAAGCACTTATCTGAACAAAAACAATACTGTCAGTTTTCTTTGCCCGTTTCACAGTTTTGGTTTTTGTATGCACTTGAAGAAATAGGTTTTTAAGTGTGGAAGAAAGCCTAATGTGCTCTGGTCCCCAAGGTCTTTGTGCTTGGTGTTTGTTTTTTTAATGTGTTTTATATCTGGTTTCTTTCAGCAGGTGATTGAGGATGTGTGTTAATGAGCCTACAAAGCTCTAAATGACCACAGTAACTCTGTTGCATTACAGAACTCACTGATTGTTTGCTGTAAATAAATTGATTAAAATTGGAAAAAACAAACAAACAAACAAACCAACAAACAAACAAACAAACAAACAAACCAACAAACCAAAAAACAACAAAAAACAACAACAAAAAAACAAAACAAAACAGTGATTACAAGGCCATGTTTTATTTTAGATGTGATATATTTTTGTGCACCTACACCAGATTTTTGTAAATAACACACACATACATTGATCAGTGTGTGTCCTCTTAACAAGACAGGAAAGTAAAACAAACAGCTTAATGACTACTGTCTATTACTAACCCACTCGTCATGCTGAAAGTCAGTTTCTACTATAAAGCTATACTAAAGACTAAATGAACCAAAAAAAACCAACACTTATATACATTCATGTACAAAATAAGTTAAATCAAAAGTAGTAAAGTAGAAACTGCGATTTATAAAAAAGACAAAACAGCAACATAAAAATGTTTAGTTTTCACCTAAGTGTTGTCTCGCCTTCAATTTTTAAAGTGATAGCAACGTAGAAACAAAATGCTGTTGGGTTGGGGTCTAGTTAGCTGTGCCTCCATCGTCAGGTACAGATTCATAACGCTGGAGCTAGAGAGACAGAAGAAAAAAAACCCCAAACATCAACATTAATCGAGTTCACAAGCCTTTCAGGAGCTCCTTGTGTCCATGCAGACTGTCAGATTAAAAAAAAAAAAATAACCACTGTTACAGACAGGTATCAAAAAGCATCATGGCAGACAACACACTGGCCCATGAGAAGCGATACAACACTCATACCAGAAGCCTCGGAATAGAGCTGTACCACGACAAAGGTAGGACGTGGTACATGATTGAGGTTTGCTTCTTTTGTCCTTACTAGTATGGACACACTACATCATAACAAAATTACCAGACAGTCACAAGGAGTTTTTGAGCAAATTCCTTTTCATTGCACTTCAGGAGATTATGTGATTGGTATCGGAAAGAATGTATGGAAAAGATTACATTGAAAAATTATGCATGATCCAAATTTTTCCAGCAAAACAGTTTCACAAATATGACGTTAAATATTGAAAACAAACAACAAACTGGGAGGCATCAACTGCATGTTTTCAGGAAAGTATCACTCGTTTACATTTGTAACGCTGGTTAAAACTTGTTAATGCTTCAATCGAACACACTGCTCCAAAGTCATGGGGTCATTTTGTCTCCCTTTGTCTCATTTCAAGTTATATTGGATATGTCGCGCTACTTTTGTGCATGTTAAAGTTTGTACTCTGAACTTTAGAATAATTGAAGACTAAAAGGTCTATTTTTGTGTTGTATTAACTTATGTACTGATGAATTGTGAAATCATTGCACAACATTTTTTTGCTTTTTATTTCAACTTGTGGTATCTTGGCATTAATTTATTCTGGCCAGCTGTAGGACACCATGTCTTCTTTGCATTCTGTGTCTAATTATAATGACTGTGCTTCAAAAATCTTAAAATCTAAATGAGGTTTAAAAAAAAAAAAAGAAGAAAAAAAAGTCTTCTTTTTACAAACCACTGGAGGCTTACCTTTGCTTTAAGCTCTTTATTTTCCCCTGCCAAGCGTGCACACTTTTGCCTGAGATTAATCACCTCCTGCTGCAGAGCCTCAGCATCTTCTGAAGTCTGCCCAACAGCACCGAGTTGCTGCTTGACAAATCTGGTAGAAGGAGCCAGTTAAAGAATCTACAGCGAGTGTAATTTCTGTTCAGACTTGTAGCTGGGAGGGAAAATATCAGCTGAAGGGTCACCTCAACACACAGATCATAATGTTGCAGGCTCATAATGTTCAGAATCAGCTTGTGCAATTAGAAGGATACTCCAAAGCGTTGTTGGGCTTTTCTTGTTGTTCATATAGCGACACTAGAACTGAAGACCAGGAGGGGAGAGAAAAGAGTTAAACTTTCTACTTATCACTGACTGTCAGTAAATACTTGGATGGACTCTTAGTTCTGTTTACTTGACCTCTGATAACATAATTCGTGAGTTAAATGGCAAATTTGGACTGTTTACTCAAGCAAAGTCCTTGTACTGTGCATTTACGTTAACTCAAATTATAATCTAATGAATTTGAGAAGTTCAGCACCATTTCTTACAGTGAAAAACAAGTCAAAAATTCATAATAGGTGGAAAATCCTGCAAAAAAATGTATGTTTGATATCTTACATTCTCTATCAACATTATATTAGCTATCAATCCATGTTGTTAAGATGTGTTTACTAAAAAGCCTGACACTGGTGAAAAGGTTTTCGACGTTTCCCCTCAAGGCTACTTGGTGTCAGATAATAATTTGCAGCACTGTCAGAAGAGGGTCTAGCTTTCAGTTGTGCTCTGCAATACTTTGCGAATAGCTCCCAAAGCTAGTATAATGACTTTAACAGAAAAGAAATGCACCTTACCACTAGTTAGACTGTCAACAACACCAGCTTTCTCCAAGTATCTCCTAAACTGTTCCCTCTTGGGGTCTGGACCCTGCTGGAGGAAGAAAAATAAGACATTTTATTACCAGCTAATCATAAAGTACCTTTAAGCTGTCACGTCTTGCCTATTAGAGTGGGCCAATATGATTAAGAGTGTTCTCACTATTTGTAATTCCCTCGTATTTAATGCCCTGGACTTCAAAGGTGTAATAAAGAAAGTATAATTTGTAGCCGTAGCTAATTTATTTACGTTCTCCAAACGCTGTTTACCCACAAGCATTTGCAGACCCCCATCACCGAGAAAGCCCAAATTCAAGCCGTCACAGGTGCGATGGCGACCTCCCGATGAGCCTCCCTCCCTGCTAACATTAGCTTAGCTAGCTTGAAACACAGGACATGAAGCGGGTTCTTAAAAACAGCAGAGTAAAATGAATACAATGACAGCACACGCGCTTACTTTATAATGTGCCATAGTAATGTCGGTTAGAAAACTGCCTTTTTCGTGTATACAGCTCCTATATTTAGCGTTCCGCTTAAAATGGGAGCACCTAACTTTGAGAATCAGGTACACCGCCGGCCGGGTCGGTAAAAGTTTACTTTCGTTTATCTTCTTCGCTCAACCAACTGCTCCGCAGAGTCAAAGCTGCATTCAGGAGCTCCTCGGGAATATAAGAACGTGCAAAGGTTCCTCGTCACGAAACCAGTGATAAATTCTTACATATCTCCATTTCTGTTGTTTTCCCTCTTTTACAAAGCACTTAAAATTGCACTCTTAAGCCATTCTGCGATTGGAGGGCAAATAATGCGTCAAAACTGCTAAACAAAACAACAACAAAATAATATCATTGTGTTTAGGAATAATAATAAATAATAAACCATCAAAAAATTAGATGTGTCCAGCTCAGGCAGTTTTTATACAGATACACTTTTTAAGAGTTATTGTAGTTGCCGTATGCTATGCGGCATTGCATAGGCAATATAATTTACACAATGGATTTATTTACTCAACATGGATTATTTAATCTGTCCTGCAATTGCGGAAAGAAATAATTCCTACATTTCAGAAGGCTCATGAAAGCCTTTGCTTCACTGTAGCAGGCGCTTGCTTCCATCTGCTGGTAACAACACAGAATAACACCATAACCGCTCACTCTGTTTGGTTCGTCTTCATTAAATGTTCCCTTTTAACCCAAGATCATTTGTGACGATTATTTTAGTCCACAAAAAAATACTCTAGGTGGTTTAAAATAGCTCATTTAAAAAAAATGAAAGGTTTTATTTTCTCCTCTTTCGAGCGACAGTTCACAAAACAAGTCCGGGTACTAGTCAGGTGACAGCGGTGAACCTCATTAAAGTGGCAGGCTGCTCGGCCAATCACCTGTCGAATTGTAACCAAAGCAGCGAATCAGAATCAAAGGGCGGGACTAAATGGTGAGTTTTTTTTCAGGGCGAGAGGAAATCCTAAGGAAATGTGTGGGATCACGCTCTGCGTTTCCAAGTAGCTCAGGCGTTATTAACAAACTATCTCCATCGGGTGACGTTACTTCATGGTGCCTACCAACGGCCCGCTACAAACAAACAACTAACCGATAAAGTAAACGGGGGGAATAAGGGGGGAAGCGACCGTGCTTAGGACAAAATGTCGATTCAGTACGAGGTGGAACAGCTGTCTGACAGCTACGGGGTTGCGGACTCGTTTCCCAAAGATTTCGGTTATGGTGAAGAGGAGGCCGACATCGAGGACAGCCCGGCACCGTCCGACAGCAAACCCAGGATCCTGCTTATGGGCCTGAGGAGAAGCGGCAAATCGTCGATACAGAAGGTAGGCGGAGATGTTAAACTGTTAGCCTTCCGAGGCGAGCGCCGCCTGCCTCAGCCTCACGCGAGTATAAACGGGACGTTAGCCAAAATAGCTACCGAGTTGGGTTAGCATGTCGCGAGCGATGACGGTTATCAGTCAGCTGACGGCGTGCTCAGCTACGTAAGAATTGAAGAAATAATAACAATAATAGTCATAATAAAGAAAATTTGTAGAAAGCTAATGGTCACTTGGCTATCTGTGTGAACTAACGCCGGTGTGTCCGCAGGAGTGAATTATTAACCAGCTGAACAGAGGCGCTCGGTGCATCTTTAATAGTGCGTGTGTACATGCAGCATGTGACTGTTTGGTTAACAACTTATCCGACATGCAAACAAAAAACAGAAAAGAAAGTCTGTCAGTCCCACCCAATTGTGCGGTATAGATTTGGAGTGTGCCTTTCACGTGATATCAGAGCGACCACACCTTTCAGTCTGCAAGCCATAACACTTTTTAAATCAGTGCAGCACGTGCAAGGCCTCTTTACCTGAGTCGTACCCATTTTATCTCAGAAAGAGGGATAAAAAATTTGTTCGGCCGCTACTTACCCCCCTCCAGTAACTGCCCCTGTGCATGATGGACTATTCAGACGCTCCCACACTCTCAAAAATCAGGAACAGCCAGGACTCCAGTATGCTCAAGGAAATTAAGCCCGCCGTATAGTGACACAGCTCCTTGTTAGGAGATGACCTCAGTAGCTGCTCTGAGATTGCTATGACCAGCGGCACCTGTGTTTTCACCTGAATTCCTAATTATTAATTTCATAAGCAGTTTTGGCCTTCCATTAAAGCATATTAATGACTGTCTATAAAATGTTTTTAAAAAGTGATGCTTAATTTGCTTAAGTTTGAAATGCATTTTTGATTATTTATTTTTTTAAATGGCCAAAGATAATCATCATCCATAGATTTAAGTAACAGACTTTTTGCTAGCTAAATGCAGGGAAATGCCACCCTCACCCCACAAAGTAAAACCCTGTATGAGTGTAGATGACATTTAATATGAAGGCAAAACCTCTGTCAGCTTTGGTGACTGCTGTAAGCCTGGAGCCAAAAAAAGTTGATATTACAAGTTATGGCAGAGGCAACAAGCCACCAACACCTGTGGAAACTTTGCAGTTGTTGGCAAAGGGGGAAGGCACATTCGGAGGCAGTGAGAGAGAAGGAAAAGCAGGAGTGTGGATAACAGAGAAGGGACTTGTAGATATTGTGGGTTGGTGCTAGGAATGTGCTCAGGCGGAGGCAGATGACTTGCTGTTTCCTTAAAAGAAAACAGGAAAAAAAAGTTTTTAAAAAAAGTTAATATATGTAAAGAATAATAATTTAAAAAAAAAAGTTCATTACTAGTAATCCAGTTAACTACAACATAATTAAAAATAGGCACAGTATAAGGCGGAATGATAAGATTCTTTAAAAAAGTCCAGAAACTGAGTCTCAGTTAATTTTGTTAATTCCCCAAAGTATGGAATTGTAACTGTAAATAATCAAATGACCACAACCACCTGTCATGCAGCAAACCCTCAAGGCTGGTTCCACTTTTTCTAGTTTTTTTTCCTTTTTCTAGTCTTTATTTCATATTTCATCTATAGGCTGCTCAGAATATGTTTCTTGGCCTGCCACTTTCACTGTTGTTGCACTGTTGTTTAATAATAGATTAGACGTAGTTAATCTATTCTATGATATTTTATTATTTATGTTCAAATCCAAGGGGGAAGTATGAAAAGACTGAATATAGCTTGACGTGCTGCAAACCTAACCTACAGAAAGTGCATGGAGAAACTTTCTTGTGACGAAGCACACTTCTGTGCCAGTGCATATATGTGCACTTGCACTGTGTTTGCTATAATCCATACACCCTCAAGTCGAAGATTAACATTTCGATGTAAGCTGCCAACTGGGCCCGAGAATCATGTGATTTGGATTTTTGCTGGTTCATCGGCCAGTGACCTCAGTGGACGACACATTGATTTAAAATGCCAGCAGGGGAGCAAATACTCCTACCACATCACACGTCCACTACATCTCGTTTTGTACCCTATTTGTTAAGCCTTCCTCTCATTAATTGTTAACTTCAGTTCAATGTACAGCAGCCACTTTCCGCAGCGTGAAAAGCTGAAAAATGCTGACGAGAATTACGTGTTGCAATGGATCTGAGTCTGCAGTGTTTTGCCCTTTTCCCTCTTGTTCTACATGTGATGTCTGGATGATATCCTTGTGCTAGAGTAACACTATAAAGCAAATTACAGCACTATTGTGATAATCTTTCACATGACTGCAATATTTTAATAATGGGATTATGGAACAGCCATTTGTAAACCACAAGTGAAGAAAACCTTACATGTGTCTTCACACACACAAATGTACGGTCATCGGACTTAAAACGTTGCTGGATGACTTCAAGTCTGTTTAAATTCACACCCGCAACAAAAGTTAACAAGGTTATTATACTGAAAATTTTTTATTTACACATCTGTTAGACTCCCTCTTTATGGCCACCTCCTCAAACTCTTCTGTGAGGACAACCATCTCAGTTTAAACATATCAAATCTCCATGAATCTGCCCAGGGTCTCATTTTGGTAGGACATACCTGAAATTACTCATCTAGGAGTAACAAGGCATCTTAGTCAGATTCTCAAATCACCAAAGTCCCTCCTTTCAGTGTGGAGGAGTACCAGCTCGTATGTGAGCCCCTTCCAAATGATCTAGCTCCCCAGTTTTTATTGAAGTATTTATTTAATATAAAAATAAAAACTAGACTTTAGAAATAAAGAATTGTAATAAAACTAAATTGATATCCAACACTGTTGATTTAAGAAAAACATACTTGTTATGTCAGTGGCAGTTAAGAATTGATTGCAGTATTGAAAATTTGAAGAAGCGCATGTTTGTCTAGTGACTACAATGATTAGCGCTGTGTCCTCTGTCCCCAGTATTTCCAATAAATAAAGATGAAGTAACGAGAACAGACAGATGCATTTTTTTCCCCAGCAGCTAGTGTCAGAATTACCACAGATTTGTGGTCACTGCTATATTAAAGTTTCAGTGACCCTCTTACAAAAGTGCAATTTCTCATAATCCCACTGTTTGCTGAGTGTCATCATATACCAGTTTTCCCCACTAAATTTAATTAATGTAAATCCGGTTCCTCACTTTAGACTCTGTTTGTATTTATTCAACTGAAACATGGCATCAATTTTCATTTCAGGTGGTATTTCACAAAATGTCTCCCAATGAGACCTTGTTTCTGGAGAGCACCAACAAGATCTACAAGGATGACATCTCCAGTAGCTCTTTTGTCAACTTCCAGATCTGGGACTTCCCCGGCCAGGTCGACTTCTTTGACCCCACCTTCGACTACGAGATGATCTTCAGAGGAACCGGGGCTCTAATATTTGTTATTGATGCTCAGGTGAAGAGAAAAAAAAAGAGGAAGAATTGTTTGATAAGATAAAATGTAGAAGTACAAAATCAGACCGCTTTCAGAATCACGACCACTTACATTTTTATTAAGATGAAACTGTACAGAAGAAGAAAACAGGCATCCAAGTATACACTCATTTCAGCACTGAAGAATGAGCTGGCTGATGAACAGCCAGAGTGGCTTGAATAAAAGACAATTACATGCCACGGCTTTTATGCCTGCGCTGTCCACATGACTCTGAGTGCTTTCAAGAAGTAATCTCAGCTGCGATATAAGCCACAGCTCATCTGATTGCATGGCTTTATTTGTGCTCAAGGTGCATCAGATTCAATTTGCTTCAGCAGTTGGTCACACAGTGATATGAGAGGAGAGCTGTTTTC